AATTTGAGAGTAGAACATAGTATAGTTGGGGGGTTAGGGGGGGGAGGGGAATAGGCAGTACATTCTATTGGGTGAAATCTGGTCGGTCCTGTATGGCACATGATATTCTGCAATTGGCACATGATATTCTGCAATGACACATAGTACATACATTGCCTGTGCGCAAGCAGGAATGGCCCAGGGGTTTCAGTGATGGGGACCGGATGCAGATGGCCAATGTATGGAGCCGGATAGTGTCTGTGTATCTGCTGACCACTGAGACTGAGAGGTTCGCCCCTACACCCCATGCTTGTCACCTTCTATGCAGTCCTGGTGGTACTGTTGCTGCTGCCCTTCTCCACACTCCTCAGCGACATCCTCCTGCCTCCTACGCCCTCCTCCTCCCATCTCTCCGTATCCTCCTGTCTCCTCTCCATCTCTTCTTCTTCATCACCCCTGTCCTCCTCTGGCACCAACTGTACAATTCTTAGCGTGGTTAGAATATTCTTCGCAGCATGCACACAAGGCGCATCCATCTACCTACAGCACGCCATTTGCCATTCCAGGTAAGGGGAACTCTCTGCTGGCCGCCGCCGCCGCCACCGCCGCCTCCTCCCATCCACCCATCTTTCTTCTCCACCCGCCATAACAAGAAAATGCAGCCACAGAACCATACACCAAGTTACGTAACCTTTGCATCCTACTATTTCGCAGTGCATGGCAGTTTTAGAGGTATAGCACTAGGAGGATCATCAGGCAGTAGGGAGAAAGGTATAGCAGCAGGAGGATCATCAGGCAGTAGGGAGATCAGATTTCTGCTGGCTTGCATCCTACTATTTCGCAGTGCACCGCAGTTTTAGAGGTATAGCAGTAGGAGGATCATCAGGCAGTAGGGATAAAGGTATATAGCAGCAGGAGGATCATCAGGCAGTAGGGAGATCAGATTTCTGCTGGCCGCCGGCGCTGGCGCCGCCTCCTACCCTCCCATCTTTCTTCTCCGCCCGCCATAACAAGAAATGCAGCCACAGAACCATACACCAAGTGACGTAACCTTTGCATCCTACTATTTCGCAGTGCATGGCAGTTTTAGAGGTATAGCACTAGGAGGATCATCAGGCAGTAGGAAGAAAGGTATATAGCAGCAGGAGGATCATCAGGCACTAGGGAGATCAGATCAAGGACTTCCAGGTCTGACAACGGTACTGACAAAGAGGATAGCAGGGCCATCAGGACACGAAGAGAAGGTCTAAGGATGTTGAACAGAGAGCAGCCACGACACTTGCAACAGCCCCATAGCAGAAAACGAATAATGGAAAAGACAAAGGGGACCGAGAAACCAACTGGCCTACTACCATTAGTAGGTATCTCATATGAGGAACAAGCCCTCAAGGGGCCCTATCAGACATCACATTATCTGGGCTAAGGCCCCAGCAAGCCGAGTGCCCGCCCTAAGTGAAGGCGGGCCTGAATATTCGTCAGAGGCAAAATTCGACATTTCCGTATGTGGGTATTCAGGCTCTCGCAGCACGCCAGTTGGTTGGGTAGACGCGTGAGCCTCACAAAGCTGCATCATACAGTTGGCCCAGGCCTTGACAGTTGTGCCTGGGCACATACACGCAAAGCAGGGCCGATACATTGGGAAGCAGGCCATAGGCCTTTGGAAAAGCAGTACTGTCGACGCACCTGCCGGGGAGCCCTGCACAGATGCAGCCAACAGCCCAAGTCCGGAGACTCGGGCCGTGCCCAACTGAAAAGGGCCCAGGCCCTCAACTGTAGTCTCGGGCCTGGGCACAGGGTCTGAGGCCCAACCGGAAGCTACGGGAAGCTTCCAGCCAGGCCACACGCAGCATCCAGGAGGCTGCCAGTTCCATAAAAGAAGCGAGGCAGCCCAGGCCAGGCATTCTGGCCAGTGCTGGCAATGCAGAAGCGTTGCTGCGCTCTCGCTTGATGCTGCGCTGCTGCCAAAGGCGCTGACAGGGCGCATTGTGGTGAGGAGGGGCGCTGGAGGGCAGCGGGGCACAGGCGACCATAGCCGGGCTGCTGGGCGCCAGGGGGTACAGCGGACGATCTGGTGGTCTTCAGGGAAGGAGGCGAGTGTGGGGTAATCAAGCTCTGATTGAGGGTGACGAGATACGTACCGGGTGCATGAAGAGAGGTCGGCTATGGAGTTGACAGTCATGTACATTGGTCTTCGAGAGTCTAAGTGAGCCTGTTGCGTGAACCAGCTGTAGGTAGGATAGTCGGGCAGAGTAGGTTGGGCACTGGGCGCCAGACAGAGAGGAGCGACTTTGGATACTGTGTTCGTGTGGCCTACGGGCTTGAACATTGGCTCATTACTTCATTGTATTGCTCTATATGGATGGTTTCTCGGTGCATTTTGTACTCTCTGCTTGGATACGACTACCTGGACATCTGTGTGATTTCGCAACTTGGTTTTCTGTATATTGTTCGCACTCATATTCCTTGCACTCAGTTGGTACACCCCCAAATTGTTGAAATACAGACCCGTGTTCGAACTCCACTGGAAGCAGCTAAGTTAAGTACTACAATTCTGAATTACCTTAGGCCGGAGATGATGTTATCTCAAGGCCATCGCCCTTTTATAAAAAGGCAACGAAGGGAACGGAAAAAAGTGAACAACAGGGGTGCAATACCCCCCGCATGACGCCCGACAACGATCCCAGTAATCTGGAAACTATCGCACTAAGGGCGTCCTCACACTGGCACACTATCTAAAAGTATCTGACCGCATTCACGGCTGGTCCTCTATGCCTCTGGCCGCAATTCCGTCCAGAAGTAAGAACGTGCTAGTGTGAATATGCCCGACGTCCGGTCATTCCCGCCCCTTGTTGAACCCAAGCAGGCAGAACATCGTTCCACCTTTCAGACCCGGCTAGTAAATTTGAAATGAATTGCTTTTATGTGGACACTTGCAGCTTCGCTCTTGAACATCAAGAATGAATCGCTTTTATGTGGACACTTGCAGCTTCGCTCTTGAACATCAAGAGTGTTCATGCATTTGGGAGTTACTCATGTATTAATGGTGGTGGGTGAACATCGTACTGGTCGTGCAAATGTACAGCACGTGTGCACTGACCTTACCTAAGTGTGCAAATGTAGAGCACACTGACCTGTGTAATTGACTGGAAGCTTTGGGAGTTATGGGATGTGGGCGAGGTAGTAGTGGTACATACAGAAGAAACTAACTGGAGGCCGAAGTCGGATGGCTATGGTGTCGAGCATTTAGGCGGATTTGGCTGACGGGGCCTTTCTCCATCCCTTCGAGATTTCTCTTCTTTGGCGTGACCCTATCTGCCTCGATTGCGCCATCTCCCTTTTATGGATACCAATCTATATAGCGATGTAGCAGGCGGGGCTCTGTCTGTGCTATACGGGCTACGAAGAGGTTCATGGTTTCTAGCCCACCCAATTTTAGCATCATTTGGGCCTCGAATTGAAGCCGATCGTTCGCTACATTCCCTTTTATGGATATCAATCTATATATATACATCCACGTGGGCGGCCTTGTACGCAAGAGGTTCTGAACAGGGGGAGTTGTAAGGAAGAAGATTAAAAAAAACAAATTCATTTTTTCGGAATTTTTTCCTTGTTTTCTTTCTCTTTTTTTTCGCTTTTGCGCTCTGATATTCTTGTGACAATATGTATAGCGGTGTAGCAGGCGGGGCGAATTTGGTGGCATGGTCAGAACTCTGGTCATAATAAGTGGCAAGCGCATGCTCCTCCCGTTTCCACGCATCTATTGGAGTCTCATCCGAGCATCAGGGATCTCTCTCTCTCTCTCTCTCTCTCTCTCTCTCTCTCTCTCTCTCTCTCTCCACGCATCTATTGGAGTCTCATCCGAGCATCAGGGATCTCTCTCTCTCCACGCATCTATTGGAGTCTTATACGAGCATCAGGGCTCTCTCTCTCTCTCTCTCTCTCTCTCTCTCTCTCTCTCTCTCTCTCACACACACACACACACACACACACACACACGCACACGCTCCCTACTACATAATCTATTGGAGTCTCATGAGAGCCCGGGGACTCCGCTCCACACAAACACTCCGCTTTACACACATCTATTGGAATCTTGTGAAAGCCTCTCTCTCTCTCTCTCTCTCTCTCTCTCTCTCTCTCTCTCTCTCTCTCTCTCTCTCTCTCTCACGCGTGGGCGCGCGAGGGCCTGCTTGCATGAACACACGACACAGGTACCATACGCACACGTCACTCACAGAGGCGGACGTGCAAACACATGACGGAGCACACACACACACACACACGGGGAGAGCGACGTACGGACGCACAAACGAGCACACAAATACTAGCGACTCTGCAAGGACGGATACTGTGACGTTAAGGTCTGAGTATTTGCAAACACAACACAGGCCGCCCGTCGTTGGCAAGTTCGGCAATAACAAAAAAGATGATCACCCGTCCACAGGTTAAAAACGGCGGCATATATGTCGAAGGCGAACTTCCCGCCTGCTTGCCTGCAAAATGCCACATATCTAATCACCAATCCATTTTTTTTTCAAGTCTATTTGCGAAACCAATGAGCAAAAAACATGCAAGAAAGGTCACGTGATCAACCAAATTCAAATTCGTCAACCAACCGGCGTACGTCTGAGAATGCTAGCCAAAAAAAAAAAAAAAAAAAGAAGCTAGCCGTATGAGGCCTGGGTATGCTGTAGTTCAACTAAGCAGAGGCTCCCCCCCCCCCCCCCCCCCCCCCCCCCCCCCCCGTACGTCTGAAAATGCTAGCAAAAAAAAAAAAAAAAAAAAGAAGCTAGCCGTATGAGGCCTGGGTATGCTGTAGTTCAACTAAGCAGAGGCTCCCCCCGCCACCCTCCCCCCGCCACCCTCTCCCCTGGGAAGTATGACGCATGAAAAACATAGTATGAACTTCAATTAGAGACGCAAACGACCAACCAATTTCTTCCCCACAGCAACGGCCACAACGTGGGAAATGTGGCAGCCGTCAGCTATCCACTTCCCTACACACAACTTGATCACCATATCTCACAAACACAAGAGCATAATTACATCGTCACCATCGTCACGTGCCATGGTCGTTCCTCGAACACATCATGCGGGGGTCAGTTTACACCCGTGTTTCTCTCTCTCTCTCTCTCTCTCTCTCTCTCTCTCTCTCTCTCTCTCTCTCTCTCTCTCTCTCTCTCTCTCTCGGCCATCACAGCATAACCATACTCCAGAGCCGTATGTCTGTCGGTTGCCAACTAATCCAGGCGCACTCGTTCCTCTCTGTGTGTGTGTGTGTGTGTGTGTGTGTGTGTGTGTGTGTGTGTGTGTGTGAGGCGCCGGAACACGAGCGGGGTTAAAGGGGGGTAGACAAGAGCCCGTCGCTCCCCTCTTCACTGAAGTAAGCGCAGATACGAGACAAGCGGACGCCCCGCCCAACTCCCCTCTCCTACCCAGTGCCGCCATCGACATGGAGAAACTCCAATCAATCAACCACCAAACAGAACTCCCTCTCCTCCTTTCACAGCTTGCGTCCCTCTCTACCCTACAGGATATGGAAAAGACGTACCGATAAAGACGGAAAGGAACGCAGCAGCATTGAGAAGCTTGAGAAGCGCACGGCCTCTGCAGCGTTTGAACCCTATATATCGTGTCTGCACGACAACAAAGGTTTTCACAAAGCGCAGATCAACCCGAGCTCTTGCGAATCCCTCCTCCCAATGAACATTTGTCTTACAATTCATCACATCATTACATCGTTTTCAAGCAACAACTGTAGTCTTCCAGGAGGTGAAACAGATCAGAGCAGAGCCTGGTTCCTTCGGCCTCTCCCTCTCCCCCTTGCCTTGCCATCGGACTTGCAATCCACTTGCCGTACCTGTGCTCAACACGCATAAACTAGACTACTTCGCTGCAACGCTCAAACCAAACGAAGACGGCATCAAAAAGTCCACAATCACCAACAAGTAGGGGCCCTTTACGACGCGATAGTCATCGATCAATCAACCGAAACCCTAGGGCATGAGCAGCTGCAGCAAACGACGCAAAACACGCACCAACCTCCGCCACATCTCCCCCTTTTTCCCCACCGACTAACCTTCCCTTCGTATCTGCCTACGAGTCCGACCGACAACCTGCGGAAATCAGCGGAGCCTCCCCTCGAGTCGCGATCGGATTTCGAAGACCCCGACGAAGACGACGAAGAAGAGGAAGAAGAGGAAGAGGAAGAAGAGGAAGGAGAAGAAGAAGAGGAAGAAGAGGAAGACGAACAAGAAGAGCCAGTACTAGTATCATTGGCATCGCTACCAGAATAACTCGAACGTGACCGAGAGTCGGAAGACTCCCCGCGACCCCCTCCCCTCCCTTGGACGTCAACACATTGCGTATCTGCAGCAGCATCAGAAACCACGCCGTTCTTTCTCCATACCATCTCACGCCAATGATCGAGGTGACTGACCTCTCTCTCGGTCGTTCCTCCCAACACAATTTTTCTACTTCCACCCCTCCCACGTCCTCCACACCCCCCCCCCCGCCTCCTCGCTAACCCCGTCGTCGCGTTCTTCCTCTCTTTCATGACACCCTCCACCGCCTTCTCCGTTTCGTCTTCTCTTCCTCCCCTTGCGAGGTCGAAGAAGGAAAAGGCGGTTGCGCCATCCCCCCCGCCGACGTCCCTACGGATTTCGTCATCTTCAATCAATCAACTTCTTGTTGCTCTTCATCCACTTGTTTACAAATCGATAATGCTCCTCCCACACAGTCTCCTCGTGCAACGCATTTAGTATATCTAGCTCGATCTCCTCTCTACCTTCCGCCACATTCGCGGGTCCCTAGACGACAAACGATTTCCACGACCTTCAGAAGTCGGGTCCCCTCGGGAAGCGTCTGAATTGTCTCGCTCCGCTTGATCTTCTCTTTGGAAGACAATTCTTGCATACGCCTCCGTATGCCATCGCCTCACCAGAGCTCCGGCTTCGTCGAAGGGACGGATCGCTTACGCCTCTTCTTACCCATCGTTTGCTACTAAAGGGGCTGTGACATCATCAGACGAGCCGCCACGCCCCCTCCTCCTCCGCCGCCTCCGCCGCCGTCTCCTCCGCCGCCTCCTCCGCCGCCTCCGCCGACCCCGCCTCGACCGTTCATTCGCCGATGAAGTTGCTCATCGCCGCCGCCTTCCTGTTCCGACCGCTTGCGCTGACCCGAGCGCAACCCTCGTGAGGACGAACGTTCGTCGCCAGTCGCGCAAAAACCAGCCCCCCCCTCCCCCTCCCCACTGCTGCTCCCATCACCATCACCACGTGTAGTTGCTCTATCTCTTCAACGTCGGATAAAGCCTTCTTGCTCCATTTACCGGGACGCATCGCTGACTGTTAATCTCATCCGTTTGTTT